TTGCTCTCAAGATATCGGGTCTTCGCCTCACTACCCGGTACTAGGCTTATAAGTAATAGTACAGTTCAAAGGTTTTAGTCATTCTTACATTTTATTTCAGTAGCCATCGTTTTAAACGCCCTGAACACCGGTCTGTCGAGCCACTCCGACTTCCACGGAAGGACTAAGCAGTCCACAGTCCCCGGCACCTCGAGTTCGTAAATTTCTTCGGGCCTTTTAAAGCCGTCCCTAAAGGCCCTTTCAGCGACGGCCATGCTCAATATAGATAGTGAGGGGTCATGCAGAAGGGTGGGCTCTTCTTGAAAACCGTATTGTTGTCGCCGTGACGCCCCATCAACTCCCTTCGCTCTGGTCAATGTCAAGATCATAAGGAGTCGCGCCCGCCTGCTGCCAGGAATAGGTCTGACGACTTGAAATCTCACATCTCTGTAGCGTAGACCCTTGACGAGAGCATGGGGTGGTGCTGAAGTAGCGCTGGCAAGTACTTGAACGACGGCCAAATTGGACCGGAGCCGCTCGGGGGGCACATGTTGCGCTAGTGAGATCATGCTTCTATAGGCACCAGAGATGCACTTGGAGGGTAAGTGGAGGAGAGTATGGATCGAGACAAGGTAACAGTCGTCAGAACGAGGAGAATATGTTGATTTTATACTCTTGTCCCCGAGATCACAAGGAGGGACCGTGCCTTGGCTCCTCAGCAGATTTTGGACTCGTCTCCGGACCATATGATGCTACAGGTCAGCGGCGACGATCCTTACGCAGTGCTGCGGACTCTGCCCGAAGCATTGCCTTCTCAGCCTCTGCTTCACCTTGCAATCACCAGGAGGGTTTCGAATGCTTCATCTTCTGGCACCACAACACACAACAAAGGTGCTGACAGTGGGATACATCCGCTATGGACATCCGAAGCCGTCTTTCCTCCCTCAATCACATCATCTCTCCAAGCCACCGAATACAAGCCTTCCGCTGTGCTGCCAACACTTCAGGCTCTTTCGGCTTCATCGCCCTTGGCGCACTGGCAACAGAACTCTCCCTCAGAGCCACTGGCTGCAGCAAACATGACGCCAGAGACTGTGATTTCGACCACCCCAGACAGACCGGCTCGACAAAGATTCATTGCAGTGCAAGAAACACGGCGCGAAACTTACCAAGTACTCCCTATAACATCAGGCGGGCTCGAATATCACTCCCCCACCCCACCGACCTGGCAAGCACTTGACAAGAGCCGGTTGGAACAGCTCTCCCAGAACAGTTTGCAGGATTCTGATACATCAAGCGAACACAGAGCTCCCGCCTCTACGGTTTTCTGTTCTCTTAATAATCATGTCAACTCAGCGTGGAGCCAGGCTTGTGAGCGTCACCCTCTACGTCGATCTAGCCCCTTTAGTCTGTAACACTAACAAGTCAGTTGTCAACCATGTTATTCGTACTCGAACCCTCCTCGCGACATCATCTTATGAGCTAATCCTTCCGATGAGCATGGACTGTGATTATGTTCGGACTGCGACTCAACTAGTGATCTCGTTTTATACGCCAACGAGCGCAATGCGTCAGCACAACGATTTGTTTCTGTTTGCTGACGGCATGAAGCATACTCGGAACATCCCAGAGCACCTCTTCGCTATATTACTGCTCTATGTCCACTATTGCGTCGTGCACAGGCTGAACTGCGCATCAGCCTCACGATTTCTTGCCTACCAGCTGAGACAGGGCATTGCACTTGAGAAATATCCCCTGGTCCTCTTTACTACGTACGAATACATTCTGAATATTTTCAATAGGTCATCTAGGGCACATGAGGGGCTTGATATAACGTGGCTCCAGCAAATTCAGAACCGATGTCACGTCCTTGACTTGGGTCTCTGCCCCCAGTTACTTTTCTATATTGGAAGAATCACTGAGCTAGCGTTGCAGCCACGTCATGATGCAGATGAAAACAACCAGATCCTCCTGGAGATTGAGAAGCTGCAGCAAATCGTCTGTGGCGCAGGAGGGGAGGCGAGCCTGGTAGTTGGCCAAATCGCCGCAACATACCAACTCGCCGCGCAGCTCCTCGTCTACATCAGGCTCTTCGGGTAAGTCGAAAGATTTTGTTTTCATAGACTTGACCTCGCGCTGAAGTGCTTGCCAGATATACGCCCAGTCATGAGACTGTGTGCCCCAAAGTCAGCGAACTTACCGAACTCTTGTTCCAGCTGCCTACAGAAGCTAGTCCACTACATCGAGCTATGGACCCTTTATTCAGTGTGGTGGTTTGCTTTTGTCTTACCGTCGACGAAGATGTTGCGAACAGGCTTCTGGATCGCTCACTCGGGCTCAGGCGTGGCATGAAAAGTGTGAGTCTGTCGTCAGCTTCAGCGGGCTCTACTGACAACCTGCAGAATGTGTCACCTGAGATGGAAACTTCTGTTTGGATACGTAAATGGATAAAAAAGAAGGTGTCAGGTGCTGTGCAGCACGGATGGTTTGAGTCCTTGAGAAAATCAATTCCTCAACAGTATTCTGGTATTAGTCTTGGATAATTGAGCAGATCAAATTTCCTCGGTCCAATGCCTGGTCGATACAACGTCTGCGTGCTTCTGACTATGTGATTGCAAAAAACTATGCCAAACACCGTCCTCGTCGCCCAATCCTAATTGTGAAGCAAGGAAGTCAGGCATGACAGGACGAAACTTTCATGAATGAAACCACCCCCATCCGACACAGTGAAGATTGGTAAGACCATGATCCCGTTTGAAAAAGAAGTTTTGACCTTTGGTTAGGGCATCCCTGTCACATGTTAGTTTTGATAATCACGCAGGAGTGACATCTTACAAGCAAATCCTAGCCATCACGACTGGGCACTCGACGAGATCTGGGCAGTATGTCTTCAGAAATGCCTTAGATCCTTCAAAACAAGAGTGATCTGAGTTGATCCTGGGAGCGGTCTTGGTGTGCTCGTCAAAAATGAAGGTTTGGGCGTTGTTGACTCTCAGGACTTGTTCACGCATTGGAGGAAGGATCTCGCCTGTCGCGATGATCAGCACGTAATAAACAAGAATTTCCTCAGACTAACATATTTACCTTGCCCAGGATCGCAGAGAATCTTGTTGTCTTTGTACTTGGCGTATTGCTCCTAGTCCAATTGAATGCCCAACACCACCGCGCCGACGATGTCATACGCTAAAGTTGGAAGGGCTGCATTTCGAAGGAGGTCGTTAGTTCCCCAACCCGTTGCTATTATTACCTGGCTCGCCTGAATCTCCGTGTCCTCCAGCCGAATACCGTAGCAAGTTGACACCGATATAGATGAGAAGGGGCACGGAGGGGAAGATGGTGAGAGAGGGGCGGAAAAAGTCGGTGACACGCAGGGCGAGGAGGAAGCCAAAGAGGAGAACAAGGATAGCAAGAAAAGCCCAAGATTGGACGATAAGGACCAAGCGAGGAAGCAGGTTGTGTTTGGGCCAGATATCCCCCAGCCATCTATCGAACGTGGCGTCGGCGAGGGGGCAAGCGGTGATGGCAATTTCTTCGTGCCCGAAAACCAGGATGCTGAGAAGTCTGACGCGGATGCTGCCTTCGTCGACCCAGAATACGGCAGACCACTGTTTTCTCTTCCCGAACCTGGGTCGCCCGAGGATGGCGAAACGGTCGCATGGGCCAAAGGGAACGGCGATGGGAAGATGTTCATTAACAGATGCGGAAAGAAGAGTGCAGGGACTTACCGCGTCAACAACAGGGCTTTATCACCCAAGTACGAAACAACAAAAGAACAAAAGGCGAGCGGTGATGGGAAGATCATGATTCGCCGTATAATTGCAGTTGCATGGACGAACTCCAATTTGCAACACAGCACAGAAGATTTGGAATTGATAAAAC